TTTTCTGCCTCTTGAGCTCAGAGCAACAGAAGCAGCTGCTAATCAGAAAACTTTGAGGAGTCACATGATCAACCATGTGACCTCCATGTTCAAAAGGGAAGAATTCATTCATTTCTTCTCTACGGGGCAAATTTGATATTTCTGCCAGCTGTTTCTAAAAATGTACTTTAACTAAACTATTTATCCACATCTTTTGTAAAGATTTTTATTCAAATAATAAAGATTAAATTCAAATAATAAAATAGTTATTTCATACCCAACCATCTTAGAATTTCATGAGTCAGACTTCCATCTAAATAAAAAAAAATCCAGTGAAATGGCTACAGAGGTCCCTGTTTTTCTTTTTGTAGGTGATAAATTGAAAGATTTTCCATTTTTTCTGAGCTTTTACTGAGATCTTGTTTGCAGGAAATAGTTTAATTACATCTTATGGCTGTGTGTGTTTGGGTGGGCGGGGCTTAGCCTTGGGGGCGTGGCCATCCTAAGGATGATGTCATTCTGTTAAACAAAGTGGAACTAAAAAAAATGTTTAAAAAACATGTTGTTTAGGGGTTTTTCATTTTCTGGTGACTTCAGACATCATAATTCATGCTCCCAGGAACAGAGAAAGGCTTTTTCCCCATAATGAGCCTCTAAACCCAAACAATTCAGCCACTTCCATCTGACCACAGAGGTGGACGGGCCTAAAATAGCCCCTTTGCTGCCTCTAGACAACACAAAACTGAAAGTTTAGGGTGAGATCACACAGCTGCTGAATCCCCGCCCAGCAGAGTGGCAAAAACCGGCACAAACAGCCGGAAAAAGCAGCCGGAAAAAGCAGATTTCCCTCAGCTTCAGGAGACAGAAGCAGCAGGAAAAGATCCGAAACGCGGCCGAACGGCAGCAGAAAACGTGGTACCAGAGCAGGAAAATTCAGAAATACAAAAATGCAAAAGTCGTAACTTATTGGGCTCATTCTACACTTTTAGACGTCCAGCAGAACCTCTAATTATGAGGCCTAAACAGACTCATTTTCCAACATTCGAAGTAAAATCCAATCAAATATTCAACTCTACACCCGAAGTAAATTTCCAACATTTGTTGAAGTCATTGAAAAAAATATATATAAAAATAAAATTAAAATAAATAAAATTCCAACATATGAAGTCAAACTCATAGGAAAAAATCTAATATAAAATTACATAAAAATAAATAGATTTATAACATATGATATTGAAATCATGGAAAAAATTAAATACAAAAATAAATAAATTTTCAAAATATGACGTCAAAGTCATAGAAAAAAATAAATAAATAAAATAAAAATAAATTAGCTAAGTTAGTTTAAAGTTCAGGTAGTAAAGTCAGAGTAAACTAGGGTAAGTCATAGAAAAAAATAATTAAATAAAAATACATAAGCTAAGTTAGTTTATGACGTCAAAGTCATAGAAAAAAATATATATATTAAAATAAAATAAAAATACATGAGCTAAGTAAGTTTATGACGTCAAAGTCATAGAAAAAAATATATATCAAAATAAAATAGAAATACATGAGCTAAGTTAGTTTATGACGTCGAAGTCATAGAAAAAAAAAAATTAAAATAAAACAAAAATACAAGAGCTAAGTTAGTTTATGACCTTGAAGTCATAGAAAAAAAATTAAATATAAAAATTACAGAAAAATAAAAAAATAACAATGGAGTGGATCTAATGCCATCAGAGAAAGAAAACAGAGTCTGTGGACACAGCCAGAGACTCTAACACAAAGTTATGGTTCTATAAGGAAATAAAACAATCAGTAATTAGCATAGATCATGTGATAGCATGCTATGCTAAAGTGAGTAATTATAGCCAAATTCTAACGGATAGATAGTCTCAAAAAGTCCTCAAAAAGGGCCGGACACTACTGAGTGCTTATTGGCCGGTTACTTACTACCCCTAACCCTGGCACGAACAGGCCAGGTCCTAATTCATGCAGATGACAGGAATGTGGTAACAAATGGTGTGTGTGTGTGTTAGCTCGATCTTCAGGCCGGCAGCAGAAATCTCCAGAACACAGAAGCAGCAGAAAAAGCTCCGAAACGCGGCCGAACGGCAGCAGAAAACGTGGTTCCAGAGCAGGAAAATTCAGAAATACAAAAATGCAAAAGTCGTAACTTATTGGGCTCATTCTACACTTTTAGACGTCCAGCAGAACCTCTAATTATGAGGCCTAAACAGACTCATTTTCCAACATTCGAAGTGAAATCCAATAAAATATTCAACTCTACACCCAAAGTAAATTTCCAACAGATGACGTTGAAGTCATTGGAAAAAAATATATGTACATATATAAAATTAAAATAAATAGATTTCTAACATATGACGTTGAAATCATGAAAAAAAATTAAATACAAAGATAAATACATTTCCAAAATAGGAGAGTCTGTGGACACAGCCAGAGACTTTAACACAAAGTATAGTTCTAAAAGGAATAAGACAATCAGTAATTAGCATAGATCATGTGATAGCATGCTATGCTAAAGTGAGTAAAGAGCCCCGAACTCCGTGTGTGATGGGTATTTGTTTTCTGGGCCTGGCACATCCCTCAAAAAGGACTGGACACTACTGAGTGCTTATTGGCTGGTTACTTACTACCCCCTATAACCCCCACATGAACAGGCCAGGTCCTAATTAATACAGGTAACATTTAAATGTGGTAACAAATGGTGTGGATCTAATGCCATCAGAGAAAGAAAACAGAGTCTGTGGACAAAGCCAGAGACTCTAACACAAAATATAGTCCTATAAAGAAAAAAAAACAATCAGTAATTAGCATAGATCATGTGTTAGCATACAATGCTAAAGTGAGTATTTATAACCAAATTCTAACCGATAGATAGTCTCAAAAAGTCTTCAAAAAGGACTGGACACTACTGAGTGCTTATTGGCCGGTTACTTACTACCCCCTATAACCCCCACATGAACAGGCCAGGTCCTAATTCATGCAGGTAACATTTAAATGTGGTAACAAATGGTGTGGATCTAATGCCATCAGAGAAAGAAAACAGAGTCTGTGGACACAGCCAGAGACTCTAACACAAAGTTATGCTTCTATAAGGAATACAACAATCGGTAATTTACATAGATCATGTGATAGCATGCTATGCTAACGTGAGTAATTATAGCCAAACGTGAGTAATTATAGCGGGGCATCTGGACCCAGAGAGGCTCCGTCAGAGTCAGAAACCCCATAAAGACCGACGTTTACGGGTTTACGGGTTTTAATCTCTGACACTTTCAGCCCAGCTGGGTTTTTACGCGTTTTTGATCCGGAGACGTTCAGCTAATGTGTGAGGAGGCCACGGATGGAAACACTCATCCTCTCATCCATTCAGCCCCAGAGAGCAC